TCAAAACCTAATTTCCAAATCCAATTTCTACCAATATCCTAAACCCATGCTGCTACTATATGCCAGATGCACGTATTCTATACGTATCTGATTGATGACTAGCCTTAATCGAAAGTTCTCTCTCGTGATCGGGAGGGGTAATTAACTATAGGGGCTTGCGCTTATAGGAAACCAGAACTCAGATCATAAAGTCCTCACAAAATGAGGGCGAAATCTCTGGGTAGTGTCTTATCTACAAACCCATCTGCCTTCCAAAATTTACCTCGGAACTTAGTTCGTTAAAACTCCCTCGCCGAATAAGAAAGAGCGAGTGGAGGCCGGGGCCGAATTTTCGGAGCCCACATCCACAGATCGGCAGACAGTCTAAAAGCACTATTCAAATATTGGAGGATCTTATGAGATTGTGTGTTATGGATTTTGGCGAAAGCTGGGAAATTACTCTGATCGAGATTGCTTATAACAACAACTTCCAATCAAGCATAAATATGGGCCTTTATGAAGCTCTGTATGGGAGGAAGTGCAAGACACCCTTATTTTTGACCGAGGTGGGAGAAAGACAACTGCTAGAGCCAGCTTTGGTGGATGATGCTATAGCAAAGATCTGTCTGATCTAAGATAGATTGACAACGGTGCAAGAAAGGCATAAAACGTATTATGATTCAAAACACCGTTCTATGGAGTTTCTGGTAGGTGATTTTGTATGTTAACGTTAGCCCACGAAGAGTGTCAGTAGATTTGGAAGAACCAATAAGTTAAGTCCTATATACATTGGACCTTTTGATGTTATTGAAAAAATTAGTAGTTTCGCTTATAGATTATTGTTGTCTGACCACATATCTGACATACACAATATATTTCATATGTCTTATATGAGGAAGTGGATATCTGATTTTGAAAAAAGCTTATCCGCATATGAGGTCGAAATATGTCCAAATCTGAGTTACAAGGAATAACCAAAAAAGATTCTAGCTTATGATGTTAGAAATTCATAGATACTGTGGAAAAACTAAATTAAAAGAGAAGCTACTTGAGGAAAGAAACCTGAGATGAGATAATTATATCGGAATCTATTTTACTTATCTGAGTTTTAAAATATCAAGGATGATATTTTTTTTAGGATGGGAGAGTTGTGAAACTTTGGTATTCTGGTAAGAGTCATACTAGAAATGGTGTAAGTGTGATTATAGATAAGAATTTAAAGGATAATGTAGTAAAAATTAATAGAATTGAAGATAGAACAATCGCTTTAAAGACTATTGTTGATACAAAGATTATTAATATTATAAGCGCTTATGCTCCTCAAATAGGTTTATATATGAGTTCAAAATTTAAATTTTGGAATGACTTAAAAGAATTAATACAAAAGATACATCTTAAAGAAAAAAATTATTAGAGGATATTTAAATGGACATGTTAGCAAAAAGGTTGATGAAATTTAAAAGCATTCATGATGGCTATGGGTATGAAGTGACTAATGAAGGTGGCAAGACCATATTAGATTTTTCTTTAGCTTATGATTTTATAATTGCTAATAATTTATTTAAAAAAGAGAATAATATCTCATCACTTATAAGAATGGTTATAATAAAACTCAGATTAATTATTTTCTTATAAGAATTATAGATCATTTATATTGCAAAGATTGTAAAGTTATTTCAGGTAAAGGTTCATATACCCAACATCGTTTATTAGTTTTGGACTTTAAAATAAGTTGGCATAAAATAATAAATAAAGTAAAAAAGTTATTCTAGGATTAGATGAGGGCCTTTAAAAAATATTTTTGAGAGTAAGATACTAGATCTTAAGATTTTGTATGTGCATGAGGAAGCTAATGTAATTTGAGAAAAAATAGCTAGTGATATTAAGAACATTGCAAAAAAGTGTTTGGATTATCAAAGGGAAAAGCTCATAATAGTAAAAATAGTTAGTGATGGAATCAAAATGTTCAAGAAAATATAAAAACTAACAAGATTTGTTATAAAAATTAGTTTAGATATAAAAATTCTGATAATTGGGAAAGATATAAAGAGTCCCGTAAGGAGTGTAAGAAAGCAATATACTATGCAAAGATTTTAGCTTTTAATGATTTCCATAATATATTAGATACTAAAGATGACGAAAGATATATGTATAAGTTAGTCAAACAAAGAGATAAGAATAGTAAGGATTTAGTTCAAGTGAAGTGTATTAAGGATAAAGATCAAAAAATGCTTTTATTAGAAGAATATGTTTAACTAAGGTGGATGAGATATTTTTATAAACTCTTCAATGAAGATTATGAGAAGGCAATTGACTTTAATGACCTTAGCACCCTAAATAAAAATAATTTTTTTTTATTTTTATGGACATATTAATAAAACCGAAGTTAGAAAGGCTTTAAAGAAAATGAAATGTGGAAAAGTTGTTGGACCTGATGATATTCCAATAGAAGTGTGAAAATGCTTAGGAGATGAAGGAATTTTGGCTTACTAAACTTTTTAATATTATTTTGAACATAAAAAGATGCCAAATGAGTGGAGAATGAGTGTGTTGATTCCTATTTTTAAGAATAAAGGTGATGCACAAGATTGTGCGAATTATAGTGGAATTAAGTTAATGTGTCATACTTTAAAACTATGGGAGAGAGTTATGGAGCATAGGTTGTTGCGTGATACTAACGTTTCTCAAAATCAAATTGGATTCATGTCGGGTAGGTCTACTATAGAAGCTATAAATCTATTTGAGAGGTTTGAAGGAGAAGTATAGAGAGAATAAGGAGGATCTACATATGATATTTATTGATTTAGAGAACATATGATAAAGTTCCAAGAGAAGTGCTATGAAGAGTTATAGAAAAGAAAGGGGTTAATAATGCTTATATTCAAGTCATTAAGGATATATATGTAGGAGCTATTACTTGTGTTCAGACACAAGGTGATCTGAGCAAGTATTTTCCTATTTCAGTTGGATTACATCAAGGATCAGCCTTAAGCCCATATCTTTTTTACTTTAGTCATGAATGTTCTCACTAGACATTTGCAAGAGGTTTTACCCTGGTGTATGCTTTTGCTGATGATATTCTTTTTGTTGATAAGACTAGAGAGGGAGTTGAAGGTAAACTTGAATTATAGAGGTCAACCTTAGAGTTAATTTTCTAGTGGGAGGCTTTCGTTTGAGTAGATCTAAAACTAAATATATGAAGTATAATTTTATTAATATAGTTATAGTGAGAGGATTGTGAATTTGGGTGATAAGTCATTAATAAGAATACACGATTTATATATCTAGGGTCTATTGTTCATAGTGATGGTGAAATAGATGGGGATATTATTAGTAGAATTCAAGTTGGATGGTTGAACTAGAGGAATGCATCGGGCTTGTTGTGTGGTAGAAAAGTCCCCTTCAAACTTAAAGGAAAATTCTATAAGATGGTGGTTAGACCTGCAATGCTTTATGATGTAGAATGTTGGCCATTAAAAAAGAAGAATAATATTAAGTGTTGAAGAGATAAGAAAGCTCAGGTGGATGAGTGGCTTTACTCTTAGAGATATGATACAAAATGAGCATATACGTGAAACAGTTGGAGTTGCTCCAATGGAAGATAAGATTAGAGAGAGTTGTCTTAGATGGTTTGGTCATATAAAACGGCGGCCTTCAGATGGCCCGGTTAGGAAAGTAGATGTGTTAGATTTGACTTATATTAAGAAAGATAGAGGTAGGCCTAAAAAGACTTGGTTAGAAAATGTTAGAAATGGCCTTTCTTTATTAGATTTAAATGAGAATTTAACTTTTAACAGGGCACAATGGACAAAAAGGATTCATCTAGCGTACCCCACATAGTGGGATAATGTAAAACCCGAAAATCTTATTTTAGGCTTAGCACGCTTTTTAAAGGGGCTAGCCGGGCCGGGTCGTGACAGATAAAGGCTTGATGTTGTTGTTGGAGAGTTATGAAAATTGTAAAGTCAATGAACCATTCAACCCATTCTGACACGACCAAATTAAAAGTAATAAGTTAAATTTTTGCATTTAAACTTTTCTGTATATGTTTGTGAATGTCTTGGGTGTATGTGAAAGTTTGCATGTGATTTGAAATGATCATGGCGATCTATTTGCATGTTTGATCATGTATCAATTTCTCCCGTAGAGGGCCACGACGTTTGGGTTGGCGGCACTTCAGTGCCAGTGCTCTCAGGTTTTTTGTAAAATAATTCAGCACGACGAGATTGTGCGCTCTCTGAGGGACGTGGCAAGCACCGCGAGGCGCCACGGCTCTAGGCTAGATTTTAATATTTAAAAATCCATATCCACTCTTTCATTCTATTTATTTTCATTAGAGTTGTCGGCTATAGAGAGAGAAAGTCCCTTTTGAGGCACTTAGAGTTATTTTTTAGTCGACGCCCCAGTTCTAAAAATTGTCTAGCTCGAGATATGTTGCATTTTGCAAATCTTAGTTTTTAATTCGTTGGTTTTATAATTTTCCAGATTAAAAATATAAACTTGTGTTGTTTGAACTGAGATAACTTTCAAACATGAAAATTTTTACTGCATAACTTCTAATATGCTACAGAGAACGTAATTCTGAACATTTAGGTATTTTTATATAAAATTTTCACCGAATATTTTTGAAATGTTGTTTTTCCAAAATTATAGAAAAATATTCAGGCATAAAAAAAAAACACTGTCAACAATTAAATTTTTAAAATGCAGTTCTGCACAATCTCTGATAATTTGTTGGAATTCTAAGTGAAATTTTACTACATTGCACTGGGTTGATTGTGAAAATGCCACTAGGAGGGAAAATCTCTGAAATTATATAAATAGCCTAATTTATGTTTAACTAGTTAATTGTAATGTTATGTGGCATGATTCAAATATTGTGCATCTCTAGATGATATTTTGTCTACATCTGAGGAGTTTGAGGGGAGTCTGTTAAACACATATCCATAGAGTTCTGTTGTAAAATTTTTAAAAGTACAGAGAGCACTAAAAGGCTTGAAGGTAAGGAGTTCTAAATGGGAGGCATAAAGGTTTTAGAGTTCTAAATGGGAGACATAAAGGTTGGAGTCTGTTACTTTGTGCTCTGCATGTTTGTTTATTTACATTTTGTTCAGCATATTATGCTTTGAATTCGATAACCTACTTAGTTATCTACAAAATCCTACATTGTTATGACACCACTCTACTATAAGTTTGTTATTAAGCTTGTAATAACTGTTTTATTTTAAATCATTATTTTTTAAACTATTTAAGTATATATTCAAACTCTTAATACCAAGTTGAATGTTATAATTCCATTACTTTATATAACTCTATTAAGCAATATTTTTTTTCATTTTTATTATTGCAATAACAAGTCAAGTTTTGTTTTTTTACGGGTAAAATATGATGATTGGCATCCATACTATTTCTTTTTCCCTTTTACGTTAATTTGGTTTAGAACTATGATATACTCAATGAGTTATATATTTATAACTCACCCTCATTAGCTAAGAAATATTTTTCAGAAAAATCCTCACTGGTGTACATAGACGAAATAAAGAGTTTTGCTTATAAAATGCCAAAAGTAGCTGATGTTGGTACTAAAGATGATTTTGTCAGTTGTATAGAATTGTTCATATTATTTTCCTTTAAATGTTTATTATATATCATATATATTATTTCAAGATATATTTGAACAACTTTACAATGAATGAAATTTTTTTGTTTAATGGCTCTTTTATGCATGGAAGTCTAATGAAAAGGAAAAAAGTTAGATTTAATTTGTTATATTTGATTAGAAGTTATGTTAAGCTTCAAAATTATGTCCAATCATATGTTCCCAGCTCTATACTTCAAGCTCTTAGGCCAAATCATGTTGCATGATCTCAAAGTTGAATGCTGCAAAAGCTTCTACTTATATCAATTAAGCGGAACATGCAACCTCATATGTCTTTTTAAAGGAGCAAGTTGCCCAATAGGCCATGGAAGTGGCATTTTGGCTTAGGATCACAATGAATTGTGAAGCCAGTGACTGTCAAAGAGGACGATGAGCCGAGCATGTTATGGGAAGGTAAAGGACACATCTAGCCTCAAGGAGATGTGGCGAACATCGAAGTCTTTCCGTCAAGTTCTATATCATCTACTCGAAATGTGCATTCATCTAGTGCATATGATTCGCTATTGCATACGCAGGTAACAAATGCATCTGAAGGGATGTTGATTGTTAGATGAAGCTTAAATTTCATAGTTATCTAATATGATGCCTTTCGTCCCAATACCCATGATCTGGGCTCACATGTTAAAATTTAGAAGCTTGGTATGGCTCATAAAGTCATATCCATAAGATTGCTCAAGGCCTAAACAACTAAGAAGAGAGTGAGTAAAGAATTACGGCAAGACAGTAAAGTGGGAAACATTAAAAGATTCATTGAGTAGCAAAAGTGGACTTTGTGTAACTACAAAGTACTGAGGAAGAACTACAAAGGGTATTGAGTAGGAAAAAATATTTGGGTGTAAATAAAATGAGGGAGAAATGAGACTTAATGTAAAATGAAAAATGTGCACGAATGTAGCCCAGTCCTCGGGCTCGGCTTCTGTGCACATGCAGCTCGTCTGAGCGCTCAATTTCCTCAAAAAAAAAAGTGTGAAAAAGTGTACCATCTTCCCCTGAGCAAACCACTCATCAAATCGACTCGGCCCTTCCGCGTACTTGCCTGTTCCACAATAATTTCTCAAGCACCTAAAAAAAAGAAAACATTCCAAACGAAGAAACATTAAAAGTGGATAAAATTCCTACCTCCACTGAAAGAGAATCCATCTCCAATCGACACTGGCGCATCTACCAAATACTCCTGCAAAAACTTTCCCATGTGGTCATTAATGAAACAATTTCAACCTCCCGCGGAATGAGCCCTCAATCCACGAGCATATGAAACAAAAAGAAAGATCCTACCTCCTCGTCACTATGACTCGACCTGCATCTGAATCCGAAGCATTCCCGCCGGATCCTGGGACACGGAGGACCCCGGGGCGGGAAGAAAGCAGCGGCCGTGTTGAGCACTGCCACCGCCATGGTTACGGCAAGAGCTAGGATGAAGGCTACCTGTTAATGAAGATAGAACGTAGATAGGATTTATCTGGCCCTGGCTTCTCCGCGATTCCAAAGTTCTTGGCACGACGGCGCGAATCTGCTCCTCAGCAAATTCTTGATTTAAATACACTACATTTAAATGCGCCATTTAATATTAAAAAATCCGATGAAAAGAAATGTGTCATAAATTTATTAATTTTATTATAAGGGAAATTTCGACTTTATAAGCCTTGTATTAAAAAAATTATTTTAAATGGCATGTAATATATTAATAATAATTATTAAAGAAATATACTTGTTGTTTATTTTTTATATGTAATCAAAAATTCTCTTTGAACCAAAATACTCTTATTTTTTAACAAATAAATCAGAATCCTCCTTGAATTGTTACACCACCTTTTTAAGCTCTTTGAACATTCTTCCAAGTAGTTGCAAATTATGTGTGCTCGAGCTTGAGTAAAATTTCATGGCAATGGTTTCTATCCATCAATCTGTTGTAAAGCTTGTTGATGTTATTCACTTGGTGACTTAGACTTGAATAAAGTATTCATACTTCAAATCATAAACCCAAAACACCTGATAAGAAGTATGGTAGCCTGTGGCGGAGCCAGGAATTTTTTTCGTCGGGGGCATAAAATTTTGACTTTAAAAATATCATCAATTTCTTTTTCATTTTAGCTTGAAATTGATGTTAGGATTTCACCCCTCATGGGAGAGAGAGAAGAGAGAGAGAGAAGAGAGAGAGAGCTAGGACTAGTGCTGGCTATAAAAAGTTAAAAACAGAAAATGCAAAGAAAAGGTAAGAGAGAGGGAGAGAGAAAAGATAGGTAGATGAGAAATGGGAAAAGAGAGTGACAGCAAGCAGTTCCCCATACAAGAAAAATTTTTTTTAGGGGGGGCACGTGCCCCCCTAGGCTCCCCCTTAAATCCGCCAATGCTGGTAGCGATCGCTCAGTGGTCCGAAGATGGTCGAGCGGAAGTCCGACGGCGATCGGAGATCGGGTGGTGGTATCACAGCGATCAGAGGTGGAGCGGTGGTCCAACGACAGTCGACAAAAGCTAGGCAGCGATAGTGCTTGGATGTAGCTCTAGATCCTTGAAGCTTTAAAGCTCTCTTCAATTTCCAGCAAAAGGTCTTAACCCCCTAGCCCTCAATCTTCCTTCATGTAAAAAGTGATGATCTATTTAAAAATTTTTTAGAGTGACATATTCCGTAAATATGAAGAATATCAAAGACAAAATCAAAATGTTCAATCGGACGGTTCATATTGATTCTCTCGAATATAGTGTTCATCATGCATTTAGGTGTCATAATGCTGTTGGAATCAAGCGTTCTTAGGCTCGTTGGATTTCTTTCGTCAAGCTACTCGATTCAACTGTAAGCATGCTATATTTATATATCATTTGATCATCCAATTTATGATTTGAAACTTTCAAATGTACTTCGGACCCCCGATTTGGACTCTTTTGGGCTCGAATTGAACCGATTTTGGTGTCATTGGATTTGTCTCTTTAAAACATTCAATTTGACTATAAGTATGTTGAAATTGGAGTTTGAATGACCCCAATTTTAATTTTGAAAATTTCGAACTTGAATATGCTTTGAGGTTTGTGCAATATGACGGCAATTTTTGGTGACATATCAATGGTTATTATAATTATCCCTTATAACCATGTGACAGTAGTCATTATATCGTATGAACCTTGTAATATGTAAGTGTTATAATTCATATTTAAATTATTTTTGAATCATGATCAAACAATATTCGAAGCACGAATCAAAATTGAATAATACGTGAACTATAATCAAATAATATTCAAACCATATTTGTTTGAATGATGATGGAACTACAATCAAACCGTCTTCAATTATAATTCAAATCAACATTTAAACATGTATCAATTCATTTTCGAATCTCAATTAACTATACTTGGTCCATATTCTAATAATATTTGAATCTTACAATAACACAATTGATTCGAATATGATTCAAATAAATATTGAACATAAACTCCAATTTTATTGCAATATTTTTAAATTTATTTCAAATTAATGTTTGTTACAAAGGGACTCAAATAGTAGTTACTAGTTAAGCGCATAAATATTTTAGTCTACAATAAAATTTTGAACATATTTACCCAATAAAATAAATAATGAGCATATTTCTCTAAATTTTGCTAATATGAATATATAAAGACAAACTTCCCCATAATATTCGTAATTGGCCAAATAAATTTGTTGTTTATTTTATTGGAGAAATAAGTAAGAATTCTGTAAGGCTCCAAGAAATTTTGAATATAATTTGAACGTTATACAAATAAAATTTCACTAAATTATAACTGAATTAGATACGATACTGCAATCCAACATCTATGGTGGCAGAAAGAATATTAATTTTTTAAAACTGAGCTGAATATCATAATTTTTTTTAGTGAAAAAAAAAACATATAATAATTTTTTATAACTAATATTAGAAAATGTAATTCTCTTCATAGAATTTTTTGAAAAAAAAATATTATATAGTCAAATAAAAATAAGATGATGGCATGTAAGATAACGAAAAATTTATACCAAACGCAGCCTCAATGACCAATTTCAGAAACTATGAAGGTGAGATAGAATATGCAAAAGGGAGTTAAAAGTAAAATAGGGAAAAGAAAAGGAAAAAAAAGCATTCAAATAGATGGGATGTAGATTCTGTGGACGTTACGCTTTGTGAGCTTCTTCCTGCAGGTGGGACACTTCTTCTGCTGCTTAATGGCATTCTCAATGCAGCCCCTGCAAAATACATGCCCGCAAGTTGTTGATGAGGGTTCATTCAATGTGCAAATGCAGACGGGACAGTTGAGAGTAGGCTCATTGGCTGCCGCCGAAGCCTCGTTTTCTGCCTCAGGAATAAGTTGCCTTGCATCCTTTACCTACTATCATTGACATTCAACGGTAATTCAGGTCAAAAATAAGAGAATCCAAAGTGATCTTATTTGAATCTTCAGAAGAGAGTAATTAGGCAGAAAATAGCTCGCAAGTTCAAAGCAATAACTTAATTTACATTCTACTTCAAAGTTCAAGGCAATCAAATAATTTATGTTGTGCTGAATACTAAAGTTTCGTTTGGGGCGGTTTTCTTTCTGCTTCTTAGCAGCTTTCTAGTAGAAAAAATAGCCTAAGATAGTTCACAATATAGTGTTCGGCCAGAAGGATTCTTAGCTTCATCAACACATGGTTTCTGCAAAGTAATAGACAAGCAGAGAAAAACTTCTATTGGCGCATGAAGATCATACATGAACATGCAAGTGTTAAGCCTTTTTAAATGAAGATTACACCCTCATTGACAAAACAAGGCTAGAAGCTGGACAAAAGTGCTCGAGTAAATTAGAGTTGGAAACTCAAATAGCACTCATTGGGAATAAAAGGAAGAGGATTCACAAAACCAAAACTTATAATTAGGATAATGATGATGATAATGATGAGGATGTAAGAATACATTATAGCAATTTTATTGGTATTAAAGTGTCTTAAATTGCAAAATGAAGGATGTATTATTGATTAGACAAACCATTCTCATTATTTTGTTTTTGCATCTATTGATTTATAATCTTCAACCTCAAGATCATTGTCGTTGGTTGTAAATTTTGATATAAAAATTACCTGTGGATTCATAATTATTTTACTATTAATTAATTATGTAAAAAAATGAGAATGATCAAATGCAATATATAAGTTACTTTAAAAATCAAAATTTGCTCATGCATTTATCCTCTTTTGCAATTAGTTTCGCAACAGAGCCTGCTGCTCTAGATAATTGTCCACCATTTCCAAGTGTTATTTTTATGTTATGTATCACTAATCAAAATAATCCATTTGTGTTAAATATAATGATCTCATGTATTGAACCTTGACCCATTTGAAAGCATTTACACTTTAAAATCATAAATTTATAATTAACTTATAATACAAATATAATCATTCATTAGTAAAATCTTGAAATGTTCGATTGATCATCAAGCCATCTCAAATAATATTGAAACATTATATAGCACATTTTAACAATGGTAAAAAAGAATGAATGATATCAATCTGAAGTTTAAGACTTTGACATGTCCCCAATGTATGATATTTTATATGAGATCCTCAATTATATGCTAGTAGTTAGGGGTAACCTCAACTGGGGACATGAAACATTGGATGTATGCTAGTAGTTAGGGGTAACCTCAAGCGATAAGCCACCGCTCCGATCTTTTCCACTATCTCATACGGGCCAAAATACTTGGGAGCTAGTTTCTCGTTCCTCCTGCTAGCTATTGTTCTTTGTTTATAAGGCCGTAGTTTTAAAAACACATTGTCCCTCACTTGGGAACTTTTATTCAATCCGGTGAACGTACGCTCCTCTACGTTCGGCCACCAATGTTTTAGCGCCACGTAGCATGAAGAAAAGTCGCCGACCCGACCCGCTGTTTTTTGGGTTCTCGCACGTGCGTTTTTTTAAATCCTTGATGAGTTGAACAACATCCCATCACCTTTTGGATATATTTCAAATACCTAGCAATACCGAGCAAATACCGAGTTGTACCTAGTTTTTTCTAGCAATACCGAGCAAATCCCTAGCAATACCGAGCAAATCTTGAGCAAATACTGAGTTGTACCGAGTTTTTTCTAGCAATACCGAGCAAATCCCTAGCAATACCGAGCAAATCTTGAGCAAATACTGAGTTGTACCGAGTTGTAAAAAAACTCGGTACAACTTGGTATTTGCATGGTATTGGTCTTCACAGAGCAATATTTCTCATTTTTGCAAAACAATACCTAGCAAATACCGAGAAAATCGCGAACATAGCATTCCCGAGTTCCGCTCCGGGTCATGTCGTCGGGCCGGGCAGTAAAGAGTAAGAGCACGTGGCGACATGTTATTGGCGGCTGAACGTAGCTATACGTCCGGTCAGAGGACGTAATAATTGTTCTGAACTAAATGTCATTTGTGAGTCCATCAGTCTGCTTTTTCATGATATGTTGTGCCCTCAGCAGGCGTTTCTTCAATTCCTCTAGCACCATATCTCTTTCTTCAAAATATTGCAAAATGGACCAAGTGTGGGGGTCTCCTTCGTAAAACACTTT